TGTGGATGAAACAACAAATTTTGGATTTTGGCATTACTATGGATCATATTCCTATTAAATGTGACAATACTAGTGCTATCAATCTCACTAAAAATCCCACCCAACATTCCCGCACCAAGCACATAGAAATTAGGCACCATTTTATTAGGGATCATGTTGCTAATGGTGATGTTGATTTATTATTTGTGGACACCAAAAATCAATTAGCTGATATTTTTACAAAGCCTCTTGATCGTGATAGGTTTTTCTTCATTAGAAATGAGCTTGGCATGTTTGATCCTAGTGCTTGATATGATTCTTGAAATTAATGAATTTGCTTATTAAAATTTGTGCATATTGATTACTTTGATATGTGTACCTTGTTTATATTCATGCTATTTGATGATGCATACATTGATATATGACTAAAGTTGCATTATCTAGTGGTTGATGTCCAATTTAAACTTAGTTAAATGAAGAAATATCAAATTAAGGTGCATTCCCTTCAAAACAGCCCCAAACTTTCTGTTTGTCCCAATCAAGGCCAGTAGAGCCGGCTCATCCTTTTTCACAGCCGGCTCAACCAAAAACCCGAGAGTGTTCTCTCTCTAGACCACAGCCGGCTCTAGGTTTATAGCTGGCTCAACCCAAAAAGCCGAGAGTCTTCTCTCTCTAAACCACAGCCGGCTCTAGGTTCCTCAGCCAGCTCAACTGCAGGCGACCCGACCCGGACCCGCTCTACAGCCGGCTCTACAATTATAGTCGGCTCTCCTGCAGATTTTTAAAGGCCTCGGGTTTCTCTCTCCCCGCACAAACCAGCCCAGATCTGCTTCAAACCCACGACCTCTCCTCTCCCAAAACTCGCCATTCACTCTCCGAAACACCAAAATCTCTCCAAATCTCCAAAACCCATCCCTTAAACACTCAAATATCTTCAAATCCTTGCCTACCCAACACAAAACCTCAAGCTTTTCACTTCAATTTGTGTGGGATCTGTTGTATTTTTGGTGTGGCTGTTGGGATTTCTCTCTCATGGCTTCAAGAAGGGCTGGAAGTAAAAGGAGACAAGGGGGTAGTTCTAGCACCGGTGGTCAAGCTCAAGAAGAAGAAGGTAACATTTCCCAATCCAATCTCTTTTTGGATACCCAAGCCTCTAAACAGTATGAAATTATCAAGAATATGGCTGTTTTATCTTGCAATTGTGTCAAATTCAGTCAATTTCCTCAAGGAGATATGCGTGTTGAAGAAATGTTTAGGGAACTTGGATGGAAGGATTATGTAGAAGTTAAAGAGCATGTGTATTATGAAGTTGTTCATCAATTTTATGCTAATTTGAAACCAAGAGAAAATAAATGCAAAACTATGGTTGCTGGGGTATCATTTCAGTTTTCACCAAGAGATATTGTGCTGCATTAGATATACTTGAAGGAGGAGATGATGAGTTTCTAGATGTGAATCATGCCTTAGTTAGAGCCACAATTGCCCCAATTGCACTGAAAATCAAACTAAAGTGGGGTATCTTACACTAGAGAATAGAGCATTGCAGTGGATTATATCTCTCATTATTGCTCAGAGGAAGGGTTCTAAATCTTATGTTCTTGCCAGTGATCTTCCCTGGTTTGATTATCTTCTTAACGGAAAAAGGGCGAACCTAGGAAGATACATTTTCCGGAGCATAATCAAGCCTTACTCACCAACTTCGGGACTTCCTCATGGTGCTCTAATTACAAGATTGGCAAAGAGGAACAATATTGATCTTACACCCTTTAAGTTCGGAACGGTTCCCGGTGGGACTACTCTTACCAAAGCTTCTTTTGAAAAAATGGATTGTTTGTTTAGAAATGGCATTTGGATAAAGAGAGGGGAACAAGAAGGGGATGAAGAAGAAGGTGATACAGATCAAGAAATGGCAAAACAAGGGGTAGAAGAACATGAAGATGACAGCCCAAGAGCATTTCGAGCCTCCATGCAAAGAACTAACCGTGAAACCATGTAGTTAATGATATCTGAGATGCAGTAGCTGCACACCGACTTTTATGGTTTCCGGACAGAAATGAGAGGGAGAATGACTAACGTGAAAGGAAAGCTGACTAACGTGGAAGGAAAGCTTAATCAGCTTGTTAACCATTTTTTTCCTCCACCCCCACCTGATGCCACCTAACTTGATATCTCTTTAGCTTGGCTAATCTTTAGGATGGACATCTTAGGATTATGCATTTTATGTTTTATTTGACTATGGATATGTCTTGAACCTTTTTATGCATTTTATGTTTTATGAATGGAAATGGCATTATTTGTGTTATCATGCTTTGTGAATGATTGTTTATGATTTTGATGATACTATGCTCTTATTGAGGGGGAGCATTTTGTGCTTAAATTGCTTTTCTTAATGGTTATCATGCTTAAATGCTTTAAAGATTGATGTGCATGAATTAAGGGGGAGTTTGTT